ATCAAAGCAGCCCAACTCTGCAGCTCACACCAGCAGCCAGGTGGACGGTGAGGAAGTGACTAATGCTGCTCATTTTGAGCCAGCTCCAGTTTGGTACAACAAAGAGGCCTAGATAGGGCCCACCACCAGTAGGAAGACAAGCATAGGATCCAGCAGGTCACTGGCTGGTTCAGCTCTATCCCCTCTTACCCCCAGAAACACCCAACTTGAGGGGGGAAGGTGTGTTGGCTGCAACTGGCATGGACACCACAATGGGGACTTCAATGGTGGCAGGAGCTCCCTGCCAGTAAAGTCTGCTAAAGTTGCACCCAAACCCTCTGTTGTATCCAAGCTCACATTAACAGTGGGTCAGTGGTTTGGCTTGCACTCTACACCAAGAATAGGAACTGTTTGAAGTTTACAACCAAATAATGCTGCAATGACTAGCAATTCCCTGGGAGGTGGACCTTACGGAGGCAAATTTGTCAAATTTATGAAGAGCCCCAGTAAACTATTGGGAATGGCAATCAGCACATGAGAATAAACATGCAGCTTCCTATATATTCCACCCAGGACTAGCATATTTTATGTCTTTGATGGTACCAGTAAACAATGAGGGATCTGTGAAGATCTTGAGCTTCCTTGGAGAACTACCGATTCCTTCCTAGGGTAATTCTTTATACCAAAGCTTAATTTGCAGTTTTCCCAGAAACCATGACAACTGAAAGTATAACATAGAAATGTGGACTACTAGACATCTGCCACATAGCCCCTATTTCTAGTACCTTAGGAAAAGATTTTCATAATCTTTTTACCTCAGTAAAATACCCATGTAAAGCATTTTAGAACAACCAAGAAAAGGGGGACATCTTGCTGATCAACAAATCTGTAAACAGATACAGATTTATGAATTTGTGTGCTAGAAAACCCCAAATGTTTCTATGGAAATTTGCAAAGCTAAGGTTACATTTTTAGTTAGAATTGTTTAGCAAGCATAATGAACAAGGACAATCGTTTCAGTTACTCAAGCAATTTAAACAAGCTGAAATCTGAATCCCAAAGCTGTTAAAACAAATCTCATATCATGGTGGTTTCCCTTACAGCTGCAGTATAGCCATGCAGTAACCTCATAAAAAACCCAAAACTTCAATGTTTGTTGACAGACACAAAAGAGCAAAAGTTACACCAGTTATGAACACTCAAGGTTTGACAGTTCAGCAGCAACTATGAAACCTGTGTACTTTGAGCACTATTATAAAAACAACAATTTACAAAAATACTTTCAGTATACAAGTGCTGCATTAGGCAACAATTGGTTATTATATTTAAGAACTACCGAATGTTTTGTGATATTTGGCTGAGATTGTGGAGTATTATCAAAACTGTACTATTTACTCTTCCTTGATATACATAACAGTTCAGTTTTATTAGATGCACATTAGCCAGTGCTTGAACTAAATAGCTATAATTTTTTATGATAATCTACTAGTAATAGACAGTTACACGAGTATGCTTATAGAAACAATTTAATGATTTATGCTATATCACTGTTGATACCTTAATTATTTTTAAGGTATGGAAAAGGCAAGTTGCTTCATTTTCTATAAATATCTTGACTCATTTTCTTTGGCTGTAGCTTGACTCTAAAGATGTGTTTTAAAATTCAAATTTCTGTAATACTGTACATGGGGGGAAAACATATTCTTTAAAATACATATACACTGTGTGTTAAGACTATGCAATACAGTAGAAGAAAGCAATTTCTCCCTAACTTCATCTTGCATCCTCTCTACACAAAAGGTATTCTCAAGAACTTGCCTCATCACTGGCTGGGGTTGCATGTCACTCTAAATCAAACCAAGGTTTACTAAAAACACGCAAGCTTCTGTAAAGGAATTCACAGATACTATGTGCATCCCTGGTCATTCAGTTTCTGCTGCTGAGCTGAGCTAAGATTTGGCTTAGTGTCATCTTAATCCAGACTCGTGGTTAGGTCTCTCCAAACCAACTAGGAACTGTAACCACGGTTTGCACTAGGATTTACAGCTTGTGGTTTGTCCATGAAAGCTAAACAGTGAGCTAGCTAAACCAGGCTCAGGAGGCACACTAAGCCAAACCATGGCTTATAACAGCAGCAGAACAACAACAACCAGAAAGAAGCTAAATGCTCACAATCTCACAAGAGCCCACAGATTCATACCAAGTCTTAATTTGAATTAGCATGGTGTGTATACCAGGATACTTTCTTTGTTGAAGTTTACATGTGTAAACTGGTTACATGTCCTGGTGATGGGTAACCTACAAAACAGGAAGGCTAAAGCTCTTATAAGGACCTTCTGTTAAACAACAACAAACCTAGAAAAGTATTTTAAAGTTTTGCCTCCTTCAAAATTTGGACTAGGCACATAGTACAAATGCCTTGTAAAAATGCAATCTACAATAAGCACACATCGTAGTCCTAACCTTTTCAGACCCAGGACTCAAACATGCATTTGGGGCCAGATTTCGTAATTTTTCACCATATATTTGTATGGCAGTAGAGCTGCTGCTGCAACATACCTAAAACTCCTGAATGAATTTACAAATATTCACACCACTTCAACTACAAGATAAGGCACTCTTCCACATCATTACTAACACTTTTACTAGCTAAAAGGCTAAGATTGCTGAAGTCATTCTCTCAACATTAATTTTCCAGAGATGTCTCTTCTATGGAGGCATGAGATGCCTATATACTTTTACTACTTTCTCAACTCTGTAGATATGTTATAAAACAGATTTAAACTGCATTAAACATTCTATAGAATGTAAAAGAGAAGGCCACTGGTTTTACATTGGGTAATTACTGTATTCTTAAGGAGGTTGTAAGCTCATCCCTTTGCATTCTCAAAATTGCATTTACTCAGAAGTAAACCACAGTATGTTTCAAGAAAATAACTTTCCACCACTTCTTCAATTACATTTTAAATGCAACTTTTCATTTGGTGCAAAAGAAGAAACCATTCCATATCAACTATATTTATTAAAAGACAGTAAATTATTTCTTCAGAGAACAGCACCATATCCAACAGGGAGGGGTTACAAATATATGAAAGGTGTTTTTTCTAAACCAGTATCAATTTCTACAAGCTATATCCTTACAAGAGAAATTAAAAGCCCCAGCATTAAAGGACCAAGTGTTTTGGGCAACACTAGTCAATATGTTTGAAGATAGCAAAAAGGCAGAGTAGGCCATCCATTCAGATGTAGTGGCTTTTTAGTAATATTCAATAGTTTCCCCAACTTTGTGTTTCAGTAAATTATATTTGCTCATGCCTATCCTTCATAGAAAAACAAACATGAAAAACATAGTCCACTGTGTTGTAAGCATATTTAAATGGCCAGTCTAAATGTTTTTCTAGAGTGCAAGAAACATCCATAATTTCAGATACAGAAGTTAAATATGTTGCATTTCTTGCTTTAAAATTAGTACATTAATGTGAGCTGCTAGGTACATTGCTAATAGCTTATACCCTGCACACATCTTTTGGAAATGCCTTCCAAAAAAACCATTTTTCTGCATGGTAACTGCTATGTACAGTATTCAATGAACTAAAGTCACTTAGGGAGCACTGAGTGGATGGCCCTTTGAATCAAATGTTTCTCTGACTTAGGTAGGTCTGAAACACTAAGCAACCAAGAATCTAGAACCTGCTTTCAGGTAAAGGTAAGCAGAATCAGTTCAAAATGTGAGGTTATCTAAGAGCATCCTGTGCTTCCCCTTGGAATGGTGTTAAACCATTTATAGAAGAGAAAAAAGCAGACTTTATTATAGCTGATAAAATGCAAATTGGAGCATGAAAATGTAAACAGATTCTATCTGAAGTATTGTATCTATAAGTAAAATGTTAAGAAACTGAATATTCTAAGCAACATTTTCATATGGAATTTCAGAAATGTTTACAAGACAGTTTACCCAATAAGGGCATCACTTCTTTAAAATGTATTGTAACTTTTCATTTGATGTAACAGTTTATGCCAAACTGTGTTATCCATTTAGCTATTTTGCCTTCACATAAAATTCACAATCTCTTCAGTCTCTAGCACTGATCGCCATTTCACAGCACAGTCAGCCCACACGGAACAGATCAATAACATTACAGACACAAGACTAGACTGTATCCATTTAATAACCACAAGAAAGTGTACCATTCAGCAAAAACTCACACACATTACAAAACTGCTGGAGAGCAAGAGCTAGATAACAATGTAAATCAAAGTAAAATCATAACCAAATATGTCAATTATAAAATCTGTTTCTCTTTTCAACACTGAATGCATGTACCTAGGAAACTAAAGTACAACTATAGCATGCACATCTAGTGAAGGGAAAACCAAGAATAGCCACCCAATCCATTACTAACTAGTCAAAGTGCTGTGCATGAAGCAATTCTTTCAACCACTGCTTGCTACCCAGTAAAGCATTGTCATATGAGCAAAACCTGTTCAAACGTATTTATTATAATGAAAAGATTTTGTTGCAAAAGTTTAGATTTACCATTTACTTTAGCACACACTACTTACTAGGTGGATATTAAAGGATTAGGAAAACCTAAAACCTACTGTGTGAAAAGTATTTTAAAGTTTATACCTCTCATCTAAGACCATTCAACACAACTTTCCAATTCTATATTTTTCATATTTGTATAAGAAGCTACTAATAAATTTTCAAAAGAGAAAGCTGTGAATATTAAAACCAAGTTACTGGTAAGTTACTATAATGCTGACAAACATGAAGGAATGGCTAACACTACAAATTATTAGCTTGCGCACTGGTAGTCTGTAAAACATCAGTAGCAGTAAAGCACAGTTGTGGTATTCCAAACAACACACACACTGTAGTGTCACTGCTGTTGACAAAAAAGTACAAAAAAAAATATTAATCCACATTTTAATTTAACAAATGATAATGCAAGGTAATGTTAAGGATATTAGAATACTGAAAGCTAAGTTGAGAAGAAAACTATATACTGTACACTTACCTGAAGAACAAGAGATAAGAAAAACAGCAAACACCAACTTTGTAGCAGCTCCCATTTTCCAAATAGTTAGAAATGATATGAAGTTATTCTATATATCCAGCTTTCCAGGTCCTCCAAATATGAAAATCCCTCTTTCACTTTATTAAAATTTTCTGTAAGAACATATTTGGAAAGTAGTGTCCATAAGAGTAAAATCAGATTTCAATACTAGTGTATCTAGGTCTTCCTTAGTAGATCCTCCAGTAAAGGGATGTATGCATTTGGGAACATACACGTCATTTGGCTTCTGTACAAACAGTGGCAAAATTCAATTCATAAGAACATATTAAGGACCCAGTTTAAAAGGTCAATAGTAAAGCAATTGACCGACTACTAAGCAAATTGCCTTGGAGCATTGTTTTCTTCACTTTAAAATCTGTAAAATATCCCCCAGGAGTACTGGAATCAGGCAAGTCGCACAGATATTAGTAAACAATACTTTCTTCTTCACGCCTCTTTAACAGTATGTAGTGTCTGGGTGAGAAATAGTTCCACATTAGTTTCAAGTGTCAGCACAAACCTGTTTTCAACGGAATGGGCAATAGTAAATTAATCCATTAATAAAAAAAGGAATTTGTGAAACACTGATGTTTCCTATTAATAATGCTGAGACCAAGTAACACGGACAGGGCAGAAACCAGAGCTTATCTGTCCTCCACAGCACCACAAATGTCTCTCTGATCTTTCTTTACCTAGTGTATTCTCATTTCCACTTTCCACTTTTTACATTCAGTCTTTTGTCCATGCCCGCTCAAGAGGAGTAGATGGTATAATTTGACACTCGATTTGCCTTCGAAGGAAAAAAAAATAAAAGCCTTAAGGAAACTCCCCCAGCCCATATGACTCCCTCCCTCAGTTAATGCTTAAAATATCCTTATATTCGGGGTTTAAAAACCACACAAAAGTGGTGGAGGGAAGAGGGAGGGCAATGCGGCTTCCAGCTATTTTGGAGGGTGGAGTGAGTGGAGGGTAGTAGAGAAGCGCAGAAAATTTACTTTCTTCACTGTTCTAAAAAACCAAATCTTTAAACACAACGACGATCGAAAGAGGCTTGGGAGCGATCTTTCCCGAAGCGGCGGTGCAAGAGGATGTCTCAAAAATGGATGAAGCAGGTGAAGCGATGCTTTTTTATAACCATGGTGATCCGATGTGGGCAAATGGGTCTTCTCGAGTGGCCGGTCTGGTGGGGCAAGGAATGCACGATCTCTTTTCTTTCTCTCTCCCCCTCCTTGCTCTTCCAAGCTGGATGTATGTGCAGGCGTCTAGTTCTTTCTCTCTCTTTTTTCCTTTTCCCCTTCCCTGCAACTCTTCACGGGATCACCATTTCCCACAGAGTCGTCCTCTTCGGTCGCTGTCGAGGCAGGACCCTCCGTGCACGACTCGGCTTTTGTTTTGTTTCTCTCTCACACACCCTCCTCTTCTTTTCCTCCTCCTCCTCCTCCTCCCTGCCTTCCTCCGTTCACAACCGCAGCGAGCAGACGAGAGAGAACGAGGGAGGCGGGCGAGGAGGTCACGGAGCCTGGTCAATCCTCGCTCTCGCCCCCTTGTGCCTCCCACACAACGGGCGGAGAAGAAGAAGGGAGAGGGGCGACCACGGCGGACGACGAAGCCGACCACCACGACGGCGGCTCGACGCCTCCCTCTCTCTCTCCCGAGCCCCGCCGCCCCCTTTTCTCCTAGCTCTTCCTCCCCGGCTGCGAAAAAGAACCTGCTGCTCCGGCGTCCGGCCCGGCGGCGAGAAGGCGGCCGAGCCCAACTTTGCGCCCGCGGTGATGAAGTTGAAGAGCTGAGGAGCGGCAGGAGGAGGAGGAAGGGCCGAGTCGAGCAGCTTCTCCTTCAGGACGACGCCGGAAGGGGAACGGCGAGCGGAGGAGGGCGAAAGGACCGGCTTTATCGTCCCCCAGATCCGGCTGGCAGCGCTGAGTGGCCCTCCCTACCTTGCTGCGCCCCTGTGGTAATTTCATAGCTACCCATTCACTTGCGTGGTGTCGAGAACAGACCCAAGATGGCGGCGCCCGGGCGATTGTTTTTGTTTCCTCTCCACCTCGCTTTTTTTTTCTCCCCCTCCCTCCCTCTCTCTCTTTAACTCCCTCCCTCCCACCAACACCCTGCTCGCTCACGCGCACGCGCGCTCTCATCTACCCGGCTCGGCCGGCCCCAACAGCTGCCGTTTTATGTGCGCGCGCGCGCGCGCCACGGTTAGTGGTGGTGGTGGTGGGGAGGAGTAGGAGGAAGAAGAGAGATACGGGGTGGGGGGGGATGGGGGCTCGCCTCCATTTGATTGGCAGCCCGAGCTAGCCACTGAGCTAAAAAGAGTAAGGGGCGGGAAAGGTTCAGCCTTGAACGTAGGCGGGTTCTGCTCCCGCCCCTGGATTCGACTCCACCCCTCAGCTGGGCGGGGTTCGGCCGCCGTGTTCCATGTCTTGGCATTTCTGGCAGGCGCTGAGGAAGGTGAGGCGCTGCTCGAAGCCCTGCAAGAAAGCAGGGGCTACGTTGCCTGGTTGCCAGGCTTATACTGTAAACGCCAGACTCATTTAGTTCATTTTACTGGGGAACGCAGGGCTGCATACCTAAGTGGGTCGTGCAGCCCCGAACCTTGTGCCCTGTTTACTCGGAAGTAAGCCCCGCGGAGTTCAGTCGTGCTTCTGAGGCAGCGTGCGCATAGGATGGCAGCCTTGGCTTGGGTCCATTAAGGCGGCAGTCCTTTCAGCACCCTTTTCCCAGTGGTGCTGTGTAAGCCAGTTTTCAGGGGACGGGTGCGGTGTTTAAGAAGACACTTTCACCTCTTTCCTTTAATTGTATGTGCGCTTTTCCCATGCAGGTAAATTATGGACGGTTGAGCAAATGGATAAAGCAAATGACTGATTAAGGCTGCAATGATGTACCCATTTGCTTAGAAGTAAAAACTCAATTGAACCCAGTCCTGCCTGCATCTGAATATACATGTACAGGATTTCATGGCATGGGACTTCAGTCATGGATGTCCAGCTAAATAAATACAGATTATCATTTTTTAAGTGATGAGGTTATGGGGGGGGCTGTTTATTTTGTGCAAGTCAAGGCCCATTACTTATATTTGAATGGGGGGGGGGAGTGTATTTGTCTTGCCTGGAGATGTGAGCTCTTTAAGAACATAAAGACAAGCATACTGGATCAGACCAGTGGCCCATCTACTCCAGCATCCTTTTCGCACAGTGGCCGACAAGATGCCTGTGGGAAACCTGCAAGATGGACGTGAGCACAGCAGCTCAAGTGAGAACTACCCATAAAAAAATAATGGGGGAAACTAGGATTTTAGTGTAGCTGTAATGGTGCACCAGTGTATTCATCCACCAAATGAAAGGTGGCAGAAAGGACAGGAGTCCCTGTCTCTGGTATGAATGGCTCAACCCATAGTTTATCTGTTGCATGTGTTTGCCTCTCACTGAGCTATGTATTAGTAGCAGTGACTGAGGTTGCACAACAGGCAGGAAGAAGCTGCTGCTAATGACCCAAAAGTGAGGGTGACTTGAGCCTATGGAAAATGCAGAACGACATGATTGAAACGTTCCTGGAAATTATCTACTTAAGTAACCATTGTTACTTGATAATTTCAATAATTTATATCCCACATTATCTTGTGGAATATTATTCAAAACAGTTTACAGAAACATTGAAACAAGCACCACATAAATACACAACAATCTAATATGGCAGTAAGGAAATAAAATCACAATTTTGTAATTGCAATAAAATCCCTTCTGGTAGAAAATAAACACTAATGACCACAGCATAAGAACATCAGTAGTTGACAAAGAAGCCAATCCAAACAGAAAAATCTTTGGTCACTGAGCATGTTCAGACATATTTAGGCTATTCAAGGGAGCATGCCCCTTTAGGTTTGTTTTTCTAAAGATTTTTTTGGTTCTGCATATCTCAGGGTTTCCCCAAGTAAGCCAATACCTCAACTCTTGTTTATCTTGCCTACATGGCTAGTAGGATTCAGCACCTGAATTCTCTATTCCAGGGCATGATAATATTTATACCGCAGAAGATTTTAAAACACATTCCAGATGGCGCAGGTGGGAGTTGGTGTTCAGATGTAACATTGGACACATTCAAGCTAGACAAAACACTTGAGAGGAGGGCATGGAGCATGGCCAGTTAGGGGCTTGGGGTGTCAAGGGGGAAATGGCCTTGTGAGAGCCCTAAGGCCATAGTGAGAGGCCTGGAGGGCTGTAATTGGGTTCTAAGCCTTAGATTCCCTATCCATTTTAACCCAACCTTCATGAGGAAGAGTACCATAGTCACATATGACTTTGCAGTTCTCAAACCATGGGTGGCTATTCCACCTAGCCAGCATCATTTGCTTGTGCATATAGTCCTTTGAAAAGTCCAGTCACTTAAACATTCAGTTAAATTAGGAGCTCATGCAAAAGAAAAGCCAAATAAATTGACTGAATATTGTAGTATCAAATTTTCCATGGGTAGTTATAGTTCTTTCCTAAGGCTTAATGTAGTGCAGTGTTTCCCAGCCTTGTGCCTCCAGCTGTTTTTGAACTACAACTCCCATCATCCCTGACTAGCAAGACCAGTGGCAAGGGATGATGGGAATTGTAGTCCAAAAACAGCTGGAGGCACAAGGTTGGGAAACACTGATGTAGTGGATGGATCTGCAATTTTTTATACCTAATGATGAGGGGAAACATTAAAATATGAAGGTAAAGCAAATATGGTAAAAACAATGTACAGTTCAATCCTATGCTTGTCTATGCAGAAGTTCATCCCACTAAGTTCACTTTTTCCCAGGTAAGTATGTATTGGATAGCATCCTTACTGAGCTAAAATCAATGCAGCTGATACCTTGTTAAATTTGAAAAGAAAAGAAATTGAAAAGAAATTGCATTCTTTTTAAATAAACAATTAAAAAAATCACTACTGATTCTTAATGAGTGGTTTATGTGAGTGGCTAAGAGAACTTCAGTTGTTCACTATCGTATGTGCTAGATAAGCCTTCCAGATATTGTTGGACTGCAACTTTCATCACCAAAGGTTAGGGATGATGAGAGTTGTAGTCTAATATTTGTAAGGTACTAGATTGGGAAAGGGTGCCCTAGATCAGGGGTTCCCAAACGGTGTTATGTGGGCCACCAGAAAACAATTTAAAGGCTTTTCATCCTCAGCATTTCATGGTGTTGGAATGTGCTAATAATAGGACTCAGTAAAACTTCCATCTTCCTGAACTATTCATAGCTTTCTATTTCACAAGCACTGGCATGGTATAATAGTGTACTTTTTAATCCAAGATCATGCTCCAAACAATGAGTGCTAAACAGTAGCCAATATATTTTGAAGAAAACTTGCAACCCAGTAGGTTTATCATGTACTGCAAAGTATGTCTCCTTCCCCAATCCCAACTGAACCTGAATAGTTAATGTTTACCTTTATGCAGGATTATGCAGTTTTGGAAATAACAGGGTATATTGGAGCAGAATGGGTGCTTCCATTTCTGCTGAGGAACTTGGAATGAATTACAAATATTAATTAAATCTTGCAACACCCTGTTTAACCTGTAGTTTTGATATTCTTCTATCCCAACACTGAAACTCAACTTGTTCTGCAAGTTTATACTACAGCCCCATCAGGCTCAGCAGCTTCAGAATCATTACCTTGACGTTGGAGTAGAAAATTACAGACACAGATTTATCACGTTTACCATCAATCCCATACATTATATGCCATATATCACTGAACCTTTTCATTCCGGGCTGTTTGCTTTCTTCTTTTTAATGTAAGCAAATTAAGGAGATAGGTGTGTGTGTGTGTATTTTAGAATCTTGTTCTTGAACTTGAACCGAAATATAGACTGTCCTCACTCTTCTTGGGCCCCTAACCATTAGGAAAGTGAGCTAGGCTTTCCCCATAAGCCATCTCTGCTGATCAAGCTTTAAGTGTGTGGTGATCACCAATGTGCTAATGACTTTCAACGACAGTACCAAACATGTTTGGCACTATAGAAACCGTGCATTTCCAGTATATCAAAATAAATCTCTTTTAGTGGGAATATGCTCTCTTTGTAAAACAAAAAACAAACACCAGTTACTATCAATGTGTTCCTAATGATTTTAACAACAGTATTCAAAATGTATAAACAAGCTAGCAAGACAAAAGAAAAGGCAACACTAGTCTTTAGGATTGCCATGGATGTCTCTGGAGCTTGCTCGTCAATAAATAGGAAGAGGTATTTTGGGCTAACCTACAAAGCAGTCAGTTCCTAAAGGCATAATTTGCTTAACTGAAACTTTCCTGCTTCTCACATTGTGGCTATGCAGACTTAGAATGGCAATTAGTAGTTTCTCACAATTCACCTGTTTCAAGAGGCATAAGCTAAAGCTGCAATCCTATACCCACCACTTGGTAGTACACCCCATTAAACTAAATGGATGTACATCCTCTCTGTTATTCTGCCCATTTCCACTGTGTGACATAAGACATCATTTTCCACTAATCCCAAGAAGTGAGAAGAATTAAATGAGCAGCATCTTATTTTACTTTTTTCAAAAACCCTTGTGGAATTGGTTTACCTATTTCTTTAACTGATACCTGTCAGACTTCAGATTCACTTAAATTAAGAAAGCAGAACTTTCCATTTTAAAACAAATCTGACAAAGTTTACATTTTGAAATTTGGATTTTAAACTTTGAATTTAAGGGATCACATTTTACACCAAAATTTGAAGTTCTACCGTTACAATTAATAAATGAGTGATGGCAATATTGCAGTAAATTGTTTTGCAAACTGCCTGTGACATATTGTCAAATATAGACTGCTGCTGCATATCACATGTCCGATACTGTCAAATGTTTGTGACTGCCATGGACCACCTCTCAGATACTGGCTACTTCTGCATGTCAGCTGGTAGATCATGTTAAATACTTACTACTGCTGTAGGTTAGCCACCAAATATCTCTCTCACTTCTGCAAATCAGATTCCTCCCCCTCCCTACGCCCCATCACCTTGTGCATGTCACCTGTCAAATAGTGAATTGTACTATAAAATCTTGGTGATGAAGAACAGTTGCCAAATAGTAATACATCCAGAGAATATCCAGACAAGATTTTACCACTAAACTCGGCAGAGGATCCTTTTAAGGACAATTGTTTAAAGCAAAGCAGTATCAACTTTTAAATAAATGTAACTTACAAAGG